GTGATGATTCGATGAACGAATGCACAGTACAGGCAAAGAGTGCGCTCCTGAAACTGACTACTGTTTTGTATTTTACAGGTAAGCAGGTTGTGGGCAACGCACAAATAATAGATAGCAGTAGTGGTGATTCTTTGGTGCTTTGGAGTGACGCATATCAAGCGGAAAAGAGTGAATTGACGTGTGTGTGAGTGTGTGTGAGATCGTGAGTGCCAGTCGCTACGTTATGTTATCAAGATGGCGGACATGGGCCCGTGGCAACTGCAGTAGCTTGATAGGGAACTTGTCAATGTCTCTGTGATCCAAAATAGGAAATGTAGATGCTCGGGAATGCACACGGTTGTAGCATGGGTGTGGTTTGACTGAAGTGTGAGTGACATGGAGTGTTGAGCTGAACTGTGCACATGTGGACAATATACTAGCGCCAATTCTGTTACTGAGCTAAGGCTAGAATCAGTGTTGTTCGCATGTTGTATCTGGTTGGGAGCTGCACGGTGTACTCTGTAAATTGTATGTAGTTACCACATTAAGTGTTGAAATGCTTATTGTCATTGTACTCTGGGTTAAAAGAAATTATAAATACAGTACAAGACATTGATTTAAGACACATTTATTCAATAAGTCAGTTCATGAGAGGATTAAAAACTGGTTAGAAACAAGTAAAAACTGTACTAAGTTGAGTTCATGTAAACACCACAGTATAAGGGTAAAAGACATATAGTTTGGTCATTTTATGATGGTCATGTTCAAAATGATGTACCTGTCTGAATGTATAAGTGCTGTGAATCAGCATTGTAATATGCTTACAAGAAGAGTGGTTGTTTCTTGTGTTTGGCCAGTACTATTGTATGTGTGTTATTAGTACTTGAGCTAAGTTTAATTGTGTTATCTGGATATATGCAGCCGAAAAAGTAAGTCAGTACGTGATGAACGAGTGCACAGTACAGGCAAAGAGTGCACTCCTGAAAATGACTATTGTTTTGTCTTTTACAGAAACAAATGTGTTGCATTAAGAGTGAGTAGCCCCTCATTCTTCAACCCTGTAACACATACTTGCTTCAGATGAAGGATTAAAGGAAATGATGTCTCATGTCTCTGAAAATGTTTTTACTCTATTCCTCTCTCTTTGCATTTTTCCAGTTGCATTTTACTTAGGTAGGACTAAGATGAGAGTGAAGGAAGTGTGGATGCAATCAAGGAAACTGGCTGGCATGAACACATCTCACTTACCACTGTTGTTTTATTTTTGGTTGCTTGTGCTGCTGTCCTCAGTAAACTGCCCTCCAATCAAATGCACAGATGTCCCATCCTCCTTTGACACCAAATTATTATTTGCCAATCACCTAATCAAATCATTTGCACTGCTGTCTAGTTTATGCCAGTTACCCTGTTCAGTGATGTTAGCAATTCTTTTGGATAATGTTGTCATAAGTGTTAAAACACTTCACATAAATGAAACAATAAACATGTACTGTACAAGAAACAGGAGCACGGATTGCCATGGATTTCCGCAGTTATGTTCTGGCCTGCAGTATGTTTAGGCTACATTTCACTGAGGTACAGCCATAGGTATTCAGCTCTATATCTCATTATGTGGGACTTAGCTATGATTTTTGATATTCACAACTACACTTCAGTTTTCTAACCTAAAAGTTTGCTGTCACTTAGTTTTTTTTAGAGCAGCGCAAAATTTAATCTTTTTTAATTAAACCTGTTTTGCGCCTATATTTTCAGCTTTGAAAATCACTGCTTGATTTAAAGTGCTCTTCCTTATGAGGGATTCTAATGTGATTTTCCACTCCCCTCCAATGTCATGTGAGTGTTCAGTATGGGACACGAGCGAGCAGACATTTGTTTAAACAAATGTCTTTAGTTTGATGCTATCAAATGGCCTAAATTGTATATTGTATATACACAAAATGTATATGAAGATATATGCCCTCGCACTCACCCACAAACATATTTTTTCTGCCCTCTCTCTGTCTTCCTCAGTTTAGTTGAACTGAATTGCTTTATTGGCACAACTCTTTGTTGGAAATAATACTGCTGACACAGTATGGAAATCACAACAGAACAGCTCATACTGTTCATACATCACTCACATCATTTTAAGAAGTTAAAACATTCTTATGTTTGGGCAGTGTAAAAGCTGATCATCTCTAGTTCCCAATATTGACCTCATTTCCACCCTAAAGCAGACAGTTGAGGAAATATGCTTATTCAGAAAGTGCAGCGTGTTCTTTTATAAAGAATAATCGGAGTCAAATATCACCTTTCAAACATTTATTATCATTACTGAAAGGACCTTCAAATAAAGCAATTTACAAAGCTCTGGGTTCCGTCTTTATCTGAAGCCCTGACCTCAACAGCAAAACCGTTCAACTCGTCTTCAGGACGAGAGGGAACGCTATCCTCCTCAACTCAGTTGATTTTATAAAATTTCAGATGTGCCATTGTAGGCTGGTCTGGTCCTCTCGTGCTGTTCTATTGGTCCATCTATCCATCCATCCTCCTCCTGCGTCCTTTCTGCTCCAATGGGAAGGGCAGCTTCCTAAAGAGGGAGGAAATTCTACTCTGTCTAAATTCCTACACTCACTTCTTTCTTTGTTACTAACTAACTACACTATATAAGGCATGGCTTTCCATTTGGCTAATTAAACGGTGGACCCTCCTTGTCAAAGCTGTAAACCTAATGAGATTCAGTGTTTTAGTGAACCAGTCCCCCTTTGATGTTAAACAATGCTCCAGTTGACTGACAGTAAATACTGACCAAGATTCAGTGAACACATAGGGTGACATGTAACTACATAAACATAACTGTGAGATTAAAGTATATAGACTTATGTATGCTATAAAATAAATTGTAACTATTCATTTTCTTATTATGATAGAATAACCATACGCACACAAAGTAAACAAACAGGTTAACTAATCAACAAACATAGTGTCAATCTTCTACTAACTAAGTTCTTAATTCAATCAAATGTTAGAATCAACCTTAAAGTATGACTGTGTTAATAATTTTACCCAACAAAAGCTATATGAGAAGATCAATAGAACTCTGATTACCATTCACTAAATTTAAAAGCTACAGTTAGCCACCAGCAATTTTACAGCACACATCCATAATGTTGGTACATTGGCTGTGGGGGAAATAAACACAGATTGCTCACAGTCCAGAGATCACAGTTGCACAAGTAATGCAAGTTGAAAATTCTTTTCTGTCTGAACTTACACCTTAATACTAATGATTTGCTATGGATTAAAAGATTAGATGGAGCCTGTTAAGTAGTGGGATATGGGGTGCTGTTAGGACAGAGGCAAGCTAGCTGTTTCCCCAGTTTCCAGCCTTTATTCTAAGCTAAACTACCTGACTGCCAGCTCTAGCTTTCCTACATCTTTATTATACAGAAATGAGTGTGGTTTTGCTCTTTAACTATCACTAAAAAAAAGTGAATAAGGCTGTTATAAGTAGCTTTAAAGGTGTTTAAAAAAATGTCTTTTGTTTAATGCTATCAAATGGCCTACACTGTATATTTGCTTGTTCCAAGTGTTTTAAAAAAAAATTAAATCTAAAAGCCTCCACATCAAAAATAATATTTTCAGTGTTTTGAACTATTTGAACCAAGCAGTTTCTGTCAGTTTGTCTTTTTTTTTTTTGCTGTTGAATGCCTTGGACCATTGTTAGAATTAAAAGTTAGGTCTTTTGGTTCTGTGCAACAATGTTTGTCCAAGCAACATGGATTTGTAGTGATGGTCATACTAAAGAAGAGTTTAAGTATTAAATTGTAGACTAATTTATAGTGCATGGAAGTCACTTTCAGCTTTTCCCCGTTAGGGGTCACGAATCGTCACACTGACGACTTGCATGTTGACATTTGGCATGTGTTTTACGCCGGATGCCCTGCCTGACGCAACCCTGACTCAAACCTGGGCCACATTTTACACATTCTGTATTGGGGATAATCTCTGAGTAATACAAGTGGCAAAATAAACCTTTTTTGGCTGGAAATTTTTTACAGTGAGAGCTAGACTGTCACAAATTTATATTTTCTAACGCTGGGCAAAAGCTTCTGTCTGCCTGCCTCTGTACCTACAAATGTACCAGTCCTTGTTTATAAGATGGGTTAAGTACAGTAGAGAAAGCATGTGGTGCAGACGCCAGTCTCCTTCACTGGACCTCAACACAACCATTTTATCTGTTGAGCCATCAGGCCAAATCAAGTGGTCTTTATTAAAGTCATTTGATGGATTCACCTGTGGCCTCCCCCAGCTGTGATCTATTGCTTTTCCAGCCCTTGGAGGCCATAATAAACAAATTTGGCAATGGGATCACTTCATGCCAGCAGAGCATGTGCATGTGTGTATTTGTGTGTATAGGTGCTTTTACAGCATGCGGTTCAGGTCTATTGTCACAACTGCTCCATTGTTGGTATTGGATCCACTGGTGATATTTGTGGGTTCCTCACTGATTCTAGCATGATTTCACACACACATTTGTGGCCAGGGACAGTAGCACTATCCATTTGAGTACTTATAAAATCTTTAGCAGCTCCTGCATATTTCCTAATAGAGCAGTACATCAAAGGCAGTTCAGCCTGGGCAAATCCTTCACAAATTTAGTGAATCCATACATAGAGAAGCTATTTCTTGAACAAGCAAGATACCAAGTACTGATGCTTTACAATCCAATGATGCTACTTGAATTAAGTTACAGTTTAGGTTTGGATGGGATGCTTAACATCAGGTATGACAAAGATAAAGAATATAAACCGATCCGAGTTAATCAAGCCTTTAGTGTGAAATTTAAACTTTTACAGTATATAGTTTTTTTTTTGTTTTTTTTTTAACTAGTTTACATTCTGTAAACTCTACCACTGTGAATCATCTTAGTTTGGTCACAATGCTTGAAAAATGTATTTACATGAAATAAACACCAAATACTGTATAAGTTTTTATACTTTATAATATAATATAAAGTATAGCAATAAAGTGTCTAAAAGTTAATCAGTTGTATTCATTCAGTTTAAGTTGTTTTGAATAACTGGTCCTATGTCACTGCAGAATGTGATTAGATCATTTGTGTTTTGCCATCAATAGCAAAGTTAACACCATATATCTCCTTTCTCTCTTAGCTGAACAGTCATAACTAAAATATATTTTGGGAACCTGTGTGAAATTCCTCACTCAAAATTTACTGAAAATCTGAATACATCCCAGACAGTTATATCATGCCTCCAAGGTGTCCAGAAGTTAAAACCACCAACAGTTTGTTTTGAATTTTCTTCCAAAATTCAAAAGTGTCAATATCCATTTTGTGGATATTGTTCATTATATTCATGACATTCCCTTTGCAATCTAACATCAGAAGTATGTAGGGCGCACCATCATGGTTGTCATAGTAGCCCTCAGATTTGGTCCCTTCCAATAGTACCACTTAATGCCATTGTAGCGAACCACACTGGATGAGGCAGGATAATATATACCATTCAGGTTGGACGGACCGCAAGCCTCAAACCACCAACCTGTAGGGAAGGAAATGTTCCAGAGAGTTCAAGGAAAAAGTCAGAGTTAATTGAATTTAAGCTCATGAAATGTAACACCCAAATAATTGAATTTAAGCTCATGAAATGTAACACCCAAATATACAGCTTCAAGTCAGCAGTAACTTTATATTGGCACAGAAGGAACGTGAAATACATTTTGGGACATTTGGACACTTGGTGGATGGGAATGTTTAACAGGATGGGATATGTGGAAAGACAGATTGTGAAGAGTGGACGAGTAGCAGAGGTTGCAAGAAGCAGCATACCTCCAGATGCAAGCTGTGCACATTTGCAGGTGCAGCGGTCATTATCTCTGTCCTTGGTGCTGAACTGGGTGCCAGTGTGGGTAAGGCTGCTTGTCCGTCCAGCTGTGCCAGTGAAACCCTCTGCATGGAGACTGGATTTGGGGAGAACAGAAAAAAAAGAGTGTAACCCTGTTAATTTGGCCCCTTAAAGCCCCACTATATTGTGTTAATGTAAGCACTTGCCAGACTTAGTGCAATTCACAGGTTTCGCCACTAAGTGGAAGTTTACTAAAATGGACTAAAGCAGAACTGTCTTTTCCTTTTTTTCCATTTTTTCTTTCCTCTCTTGGCATCCATCTTGCTAAACCAAGCATAAGCACGCTGGCCAAAAAGACAAACCACGAGTTATTGTCATTTTCATTTAAGAACAACCCTGATTTGTAAACTAACTTTGTACAGACAAGATATATCCTCGAGGGACTTCTTCTGGTTCTGGATTCCTGGCTCATCATCTAAAGCTGGATCCCTCCTCGTTCGCCTTGGTGCCCAAAACCTCTCTGAACTTCAGTACCTCTGAAATGCTATGTTGGTAAACTGAACACAGCACAGTCTTATTTATCAAACCATTGGGTCTGTGATTCCTTAATACCACAAAATATTGAAAGTGATGAGAGAAAAAAAAAATCTTGTTGAGTTGAAATTTCTCTTGTTAGGGCAGTGATACTGTGTTTTTAGGATGTAATTCATTTTTACTTTCTCACTCTGATTTGTTAATGCCTCTAGGCATATCTGACAGTAAAATTTCATTTTGGCAGAGAGCAAATACATAGCGAGATACAGAGGGGATTATATTCAGTCAGGTGTTTCACCTCACATGGTGTAGCCTACAGGAAAATTGTGAAACATTCAGTTTCATCCTGCTAATTATATGGAACGAACTCAGGCAAATGCAATTTACTTCACTATTAAGGATCTTAGAAAGCATACATCTGTATATGATTACGATTTGTCATCTCTCAGTGTATCAATCTTCATATACAGTACTTCCACAAAATGAGGGCAAATTCCTGTGAATTTATATGAAATCTAAATCCAACTATTTTGGTCTATGTTTTATTTTTGTCTGTTTTGGAGGAAGCATGACTTCAGTACACCCACATTTAATCTTGTTAGTTGTGAAGGCCTCAGTCCTGGCCTTCACCATGTGAGGGCCTAAGCCACCACCAGCAACCAGCGACTTGGTTGGGTAATTTCTTTATGTGTGTAGGTTAAGCTGTAGTAGTGTAGTTGTAGTAATACTGTTTGATATTAGACATACAGAATTGATCAATGAGCATGCACGTTTGATTCATTTTGTATTGTTAATATGTGTCAATTTTCTTTTGAGTTACCATGTTTCCTGGTTCATGGATGGAGACGGTTCAGCCAAAAGTTTGGACTGAGGAAGCAGCAGGTTTAAATACCTCCCACTAGGCCTGGACTGCACCAAGTGCCCAATACAATGAAGGGGGGAGTTTGGGAGAAAGTTATTGTTTATTTGTTGGTAGTTTATGTTAAAACTTTATTTGTTAAGTTATGTTAATTTTTTTTACATTTAAAGGAAATATTTTATTCAGAGCAGACTGTTTTGTGTTTATTAGTTGATTATTTTGGTAGTGTCTTTGGTGTCCTTGTGTGTGTTGTTGGTTTGGCCAGCCAATATATATGTTCCCCTGTGTGTGTCACTTGTTAGGTCAGTTGGTCTTTGTTGAGGTATCAAACAGTTCAGTTTGCTGTATTTTGAGTTTCCTTATCTTTCGTTTACCTCTTGCCCTTTAGGGTGCAATTTATCTGATGTTAATGTTTGTATTTTTTCCTTACTTTTGGATTAATAAAAAAGCCCATTGTTTTGAACTTTGAAAGCTGTGTCTTTTTGCCTTACTGCTTGGTCCGTGACATTAGTAATTGCATGGTTACCGGGGAGCTTTGTTTGAGTTGTCAGTTCCTGGCAGGAAGAGGTATTGCTGTGTGTTCCTGTTATACTCAAGTGGATATCACTTTCTTTGGGGGATTTTCGGGGGCAGTGGTAGCCCAGGTGATTGGAAAAGAAAAGTGGAAGCAGACAAAATTGGCTCTGTGCCCTCTACTGAACTCATCATTTTGAGTGTCATTTCAAAATGATCCAAGTGGTTCTTTAACTTCAGTGTGACAATATGAAAGCTTAGAGAATGAGAAAATAAAATGGAGACACTTTGGCATTGTGGCTACTCTACTGTGGGCGCCCAGTCAAAATGGGCTCATCACTGAGGTAAAGAAAAAACCTCGAGTGACAGCCAAAGATTTGAAGCCATCATTGGAACTGGATAACATCTATGTTCATGAATCTACAGTACATAAAACATTGAACAAGCAGGGTGTCTATGGCAGGACACTGTGAAGGAAGCTGCTGCTTACTAAAAATAACATTGCAAAAGAGCACATTGACACTCCACAGCAGTATTGGCAAAATGTTTTGTGGACTGATGAAACTAAGATTGAACTATTTGGAAAGAACACGTAGCACTACATCTGGCGTGAAAAGGGTATTCCCAAGTGTATCAAAAAAATTTTCAGGATTGTGAGATTGTCTGTACTTCAGCTGACAATGACCCAAAACACCAGAGCAAGTCCACAACAGAATGGCTTCAGAAAAACTAAACTCTGCCTTTTGAAGTGGTCAAGTCAGAGCCCAGACCTCAACCCAATAGAGATGCTATGGAATGACTTGAAGGAGCCATACATGGGAGACGTCCAAAGAATATGACAGAGCTAAAGCGGTTCTGCCAGGAAGAATGGGCTAAAATTCCTACTGAACGATGTACAGGTCTGATCCACAGCTACAGGAAACACCTGGTTGAGGTTATTGCATTTTGAATGTTGAATGAGTGTCATCAATCAAGACATGAAAGATCAGATTTTTTTTGTGTTGTTTTTGTAGGCACATTTATGTTAGTACTCTTGACTTAGATGAAGATCATATCACATTTTATGGTAAATTAATGCAAAAACCATTAAATTCCAGTAGGTTCACATACTCTTTCTTGCCACTGCACTTTTATTATAGTCCTATTCGTGTCAAATTTCTGACACAGTAAAAGGAATATTTTAATTGGATTTGAAAGTATACAGTAAGAAGTGTTTTAGTTTACTATTGTGTGATATCTTGCACTAACCTGCAGTCATTACTAATTACTAGTTGCTGCAGTTTTTGTAACTGAATGATTTGCTTATTCAGAGTGAATTTTGATCTGAACACTGCACATCATTACAAACCAGAATGAAGTTTGCATTTTTATTTATAGCCTAATTTTATTTTATGCTGCTCAGTTACCTGTAGTTATTGTCCTCTCCATCAATGTAGAAATGATCATAATGTGAGAAGACTTCATTCCCTTCTTTGTCTTTTAGCTGAATATGCAGACTGTATTCCTGGGAGCGGGTCAGTTTGTGTATAATATCATTCCCCAGCCAGTGTTCCCCAGATGGCTCTCCAAAGCCCTGGATTATACACAAAGACAGGGAAACAAAAGAACAAAAAAATATTCTAACAAGGGGAATGACAACAGGTGACCTGCTTTGGAGTGTCAAAAGTCATATTTATCATTCTGATGATTTAAGACAGTCCACTGAGTATATGAAGTAAAATACACCCCTCCCACAGCCAGTGGTCAGTCAACTGAGACTATAAAACAGTTTTCATGAATTGTGTGATTTTGCTGTTCAGAGATCAGCGGAGTGTGTTGGTCAGTAAATGATCTAGTGTTACCTGCCTGCACATTATTTTTGTATAGTAATAAATGGAGGCAGACACATGGCTGCATGCCCTTTAAATGACATCTTTAAAATGGTCCAAGTGGTTTCTTAAATTCAGTGCTCGGGGATAAAGTTGCTCTAATTTTCCACTATACCAAGAAAATATTCCAGTCTGTCTGTATGTTGAAGGTAAATACTACTTGAACACTAACAACCAATGCTAGCAGCTAGCAGATAGAAATCAATAATTGGAATTAGGGATACAAATTTCAAGCAATTTTCTTTATTAGTAGTCGACCACATTAATTGTTAATTTATGAAATAGGCCTGTGATCCTGGACAAAAGTTTCACTGGCACAAAACATAGTCAAAGTTTTTTTTCCTTTTGGCTCATCAAAATATTTTAAATTGTATAAAAGAGCATATGAGGTCTGTAGTAGTTAGGTATTGGGTGATAAAGACTTTGGAGTAACACTATGGAGTTTTGCTGTCTGTGGGGTTTTTCCCATACGGCCTCCATTTCTGTAAAAAAAAAAAAAAAAAAAAGTTTGATACAGTGCCTGATATTTTTGTACAAATTATATTGGAGCAGATTAATAAAATTCACAAAAATAATGAAAATGAACAACTATTTACATACCCTCTCTATAGCCTTAAAATGAATGACAATAAATCAGTGAAACCACAGCAGGGTAGGACTTAGAAACATACGTTCTACCAGACTGAGTCATACCTCTTTGAACTCACAATTTCATTGCAAAAAAGGTAGGCTGTCGCTCACTGAGTTAGTTGGTTTATTATATCAGTCAGTGGTCTGACCGACCAATGTAAGAGCTATACGCATGTAATTATTGTAGGCATTTTGTTTATGTGTTTAGCCTAGCAAAAATACAACATGGTGTTGGGTTAGAGTTAGCAGTGGACCAGAAAATAAGAAAAAATTTAAAACAAGACAGAACAAAGACTGCATATTGCAAACAGCACTACTACAGCTTTAGATTTTTTACCCTCATGACAGCATGTTTGATGGACTAATTCAAATGAACAAATTTGAATGTTGTGATATAATCATGGCCAGCTAAGGCCACATCTTGGCTACAAACAGCAGAGACATGTAAGGCTCGACTCTTCTGTTTTGTGTGCTATAATGCTGCAAAATGGGGTGGGTGACTGTTACAATGATATGTGGACCCTAAAATGCTCTTTAGACGTAGAGCTTTCTAATAGTGCATAGCATCTTAAAGCTTTGTTAAGAAGAAAAACTACAGACGAAAATAGGATTGATGCATTGGTAGGTCTTGGTATCAGTTAACCTGACATGGAGAACTGAGCATGCAGCTTGTTGTCAATGCCTGTAAAATTCTGTTAGCTAACTTAAGGTAACATGACCTTAGAATAACATTGAGCATCCAAAATGGACATTGAGAGCCAGCAGTAAGATCAGTTTACCCATTATACCCATTATCTTTGGCTTTAATTCTAAGATTTGACTTTACTTAAATCACTAATTGCTTTTAAGTAATTAGTTCCCAGTAGTTAGGTGTTATCACTATGAAGTAAAATGGTCTAGTTTTCCTATGTAATTATTATTTTTTTTAAATTCTCATTTCTTTAGCATAATTTAAAGATGCATGTATTATATCTCTGATATAATGTGTTGTGTGGATGCTGAAAAGCATTCACACTATGTTATCCTGTTCTTTATTTGTTTTGTGTGGATGCTGAGCATCCACACTATTGTTATCCAATTATTTATTATTCTGGTGTCTTCTGTACATTTTTTGGTGTTTAAGTTCTTCAGCATACTTTCAGCTAGAAAAGCCATTCAGGTATCCAAATGTCCAGCTCTTCAAGGACCTTCCTGCTTGTATTTTTCATGTTTGTATCATTTATAAAGACTGCTCAGATCAATATGGCTTTGCTTCATGAATCTCAGCGGCAGTCACAAGTGAATGAGAGAGGTGGACTCACAGTGTCAAAAGGCCAAATAAATCTGAGAATGTATACTGTATGCTAATTGACAATAGTCTGGACAGCAGACCTGGGGTTCAACATTTTGATTAACACAGCTTCTGACTATATGTAGTGTGGACAGGGCAGTGAAGCATTTTAGTGGGTACGTTATCTGCCAGCTACAGGGCCCCAGTACTCCCACTCCCCATCTGAAGTCAAATACTTATTGTCCACTTGTAAAAATCTTGTTATTGAAAGAGGTTTTTAACCTTTTTTGTGTCTCTTTCTCACTCTTTATTTGCAGTCACCGTGCCCTTTGTTGTCATGGTTCAGAGACAAATTGTTACTTTGTTCAATCAAAACCCCTTCCTTGTTTGTTCTGTGTAACACAGTTCAAAAGGCTTGTAAGTATATGTTTTTTATGTTATTCTCTATTGTGCAATTGTAGGATGAATTCTATTGAAAAAACACATTACGAGTCAACATGTGAGTCCATACAGAACAAAAGCCAAAGGTGTTAAAACATGAATGTCCCAGGCAAAAAAGAACTTAGTCTTTTGTGTTCTAATCTATGTACTGGCGTTTTGGGGCTTGCATTTTTTTACTACACATGCATTTCCCTAAAATTGGAGGCAATTTTAATCTAGCGGATTGATATAGTAGTAGTACTCTCTGGATCATTGACGTACATGATGTGTTTGTGCAAGAGTGTGTGTTTATGGATGTGTGGGAGTATAACAAAGAGAGGGAACAAGAACAGGTGCAATAACAGCAGAGGGTGGTAGAGGTCATGAAGGCAGCCAAATACACAATGCAGGTCACCTGGGATCACAGGCTAGTTAATCTCCCACGCCTCTCGATGTCAAACCACCCATGGATAGTTATTGGAACATCCTGTCCAGTTGAATAAACTGAGCCATACTATCTGTACTCATAACGATGCACCCTAACCTTATCATCTGCAGAACTCACTATTTTGTACTCTCTCCATCCACGATGGAAGTCAACAGAGCCGTTTCTCCGATGCTGCAGCACAGTCCACCCACCACCTCTAGTCTGCATTTCACAGAACACCTTTGGAAATAAAGGAAGATTACAACAAGCTTTTATCCCTTAAGCCACTGTAACAGAAGTTGGTGCTTTTCACTACTAAACAAAGTGTGGATATATCAGAAAGAGTTTATCAAAAGTTGGCATCAAATGGAGTGTAGAGTAGGTTTATTAAACACTTTTTAAAAATATTCTCTAAATATTAAGACAAAGTTGGGGATGTGTATGTAATAAAAATAAATAAAAATCCTTTAATATTATTTTAATATCAGTTTAAACAAATACCAATCCAGCTTTTTATTTTGGGCTGTTTAACCTTAACAGCTAATCAATCCGGAGTGTTTACTACATTCATCACCAATCAACCTAAGGTGCATGTCTTTGGACTGTGGGAGGAAGCCAGAGTACCCGGAGAGAACCCACGCAAGCACGGGGAGAACATACAAACTCCACACAGAAAGGTCCCGGGTGGGGCCTGAACCCGAAATCTTCTCGCTGTGAGGCAACGGTGTCATTTAAATGAGATTAATGACAAAATGTTACATGTTACATGTAGCAGTAAAAGGGAGGTCTACAAAAAAGGAAAAAAAGCAGAGAGAGAGAGAAAACTGGCAAAAAATGACGTCATTTGACGGATACCTTGAAAACCTAAGAAATAAAGGGGGACACATGCATTTCAGGGTGTCACACAATGATATGAACCAGGTGAGAAGCTAAAACCAACACAGCATGTTCTCTCATCCCCTTGAGTGGGGGTTGAGGAGGAGGTGTTTGGTTACACACTGTTTTCTTTGTTGCTTGACTGCACATTTTGCCATTATGTAGCTATGTTTGGAAGAACTAATGGGAATGAATTGCACTTATTCATGTAGTGTTAACCACAGAATGCTAAAGGATTTCTCTGTTTTGACATCTTAACTGGCCATATCTTTTAGAAATGAAATGAGACTTTCAAGCACCTGCCCAGAATGGGGAAGCCAAATCAAGGTCAAAAGGCCCTTTTTACCTCAGAAAACAGATGATGATGTGATGATCCTCAAGCACATTAAATCAATTTTTATGCCAGTTTTAGTCTTAAAAACATCACACTATCATACAAAACAGGTTTTAGAAATAGAATTCACAATTTAATTATTTTGTAACTGTGATATTTACACTGATGTAGACTACTGTATATTTAATACTCCAAATTTACTTATTTGCTAGCAAGTGACTTAAGGCCACTTTACATGAAAATGCAGCATTCTTGACAACTTCAGCATTATTGTGATATATATTGTGATACAGTGGCAAGAAAAAGTATGTGGACCTTTTAGAATTTCATGGTTTTCTGCATTAATTTGTCATAAAATGTGATTTGATCTTCATCTAAGTCAAGAGTACTGATGAATATAATGTGCCTAATATTACAACACACAAAAAAATCTGATCTTTCATGTCTTTATTGAGAACCACCATAAACACCTCACTAGTGGAAAAAGTATGTGAGCCCTTGAGTTGATGACCTCAAAAAAGCTAATTGGAGTAAGGTGTTAGCATACCTGGAGTCTTAAGAAAATAAGTTTGGAGGTGTGGACTAGAGCTACTTTGACAGATAACAACCACTCAAACCTTTTGAGTTTGCTCCACACAAGAAGAATGTGAACGTTACATTATGCAGGCTGGGTGAAAGTTTGTAAAGTTAATACAATTGAAATTACCCTAGTGCAGGACAAAAGGATAAATGTCTTACAAAGAAGTTTCATTTCACAGTCAGTGAGGTGATATTTACAGGAGAAGGCCAATGACCTTTACTACCTTGACAGTCTGGGTGGAGTTTGGGAGGCGTATGCTGTATATCCCACTCTCTGTAACTCCAGAGCGCAGGATCTCCGCACAGTCCCTGAAATTAATTGGCTCCTCCTTGGGCATATTGGAGATTTCTGCAAAAACATGCAGGCATGTATTCACTGATGGCAACTTTATACATTTGCACATAAATCCCAATGTGTGGCGTGTGTGCATGTTTGTGATTTGAATTAGCGTAGATCTCCTTTTCCCTAAATTCTGCTGCTAATTGATGCTATTAATGCTGCACAGAGCACCTATAGGAATACAGTATAAATTCTCTGCTGTATACTGTATTAGTGAGGCAGTACTCTGTCATGTAGGACCTATTCCATAATAATAATAATAATTAATATAATATAATTTGCATAATAATCTACTTTGCAATAACAGAACATTTGTTTAAAACTGATTTTGGCAGCAGATTTGCACATTCAGAAATTGTAAAGCATTACCATTGCAGTGGTTAACCATAGCGAGCAGCTGTTGAACAGTGTCTGTGAGCAAGACCTGATGTCTCTGAAGTAAGGTGCTGTTGAGTGTTGAGCTGCCCAGTTTACCCTGGAGCTGATTAACCAGTTGATTCTGCTTCTCCAGAAGCTCTTGAAGCTTCTGCTTTTCAGTCTGCAAGCCTTGCAGCTCCTGCCCGTACCGAACTTCCACAGCTAAGAGCCTTTGTTCTAGAAAACTGTCAAAGACAAAAAGTAAAAGTTCACTGAGGAGAGTACTGTGTTATATTTTTTTTTTCAAAAACCAACACTGGAGAAAAGTACCAATCTAGAGACATGCATGCTGGCTTGTACCATGGCATAAGGTATAAGCGAGTGGTACAGGTGGAGAATCCATCCATTCAGTATTTTCTTTTCGCAGTGCACATTCACAAGAGGTTGACTAATAAACACAGTCTCATTGGGCTTACAACATGACAAAATAAAACCCTGTACTACAGCAGCCGTGCATGTTAAGCTTCTTGATCATAGGTGACAGTGTGCATCTGTGTGTCTGCCACACTCCTGACTCCAACTGAAGATCACAAATGACTTTCATACTGCAGACTGATCTTTATGGCTTTGACTGATGACTCTGCAGAAGTCATTTATTGAAACATTTCACACACCCACACTGAACAAGCTACTTTTCAGCCCTGCGTGCGTGTATCGGCTACACTAAATGTGTATCCTATATGTGTTACTTGAGACATCAGCTCAGTATGTGGCCTGGAAAGTTGGATCATTCCAAATCATTTCAAAAATTGCTTCCACTTCATATTTGCTTTGTGAGGCAACACTTAATAAAAGTGGCAGCGCAAGCTAACAAATTGTCCTCTATCATGTGTAGCTTACTTTGAAGAACAGTCAGAGAGCGGGTAGACCATGGCAGTAAACCAGCATAGCAATGTTTAAACAGTCAGTGGTGTTGATAGAACAAAGATGACATTTTGGATCACTTTGCATCCTAGGCATTTAAACTGTTATCCTTATGAGCTTGTGCTATTAATTATTATAATATACACATTTAATGATTGTTATGGTAGGGTGAGGGAGTACTGAGGTTGGACTCAAGTGTGCAGACCCAGGTGTTAGGGGAAAAAGCATGACCGTAGCAGGTAAAGAAAGAGAACACAAAGTATCAAAAGAACATAACATGGGAAGGTACGGTACTTGGATATGTATAATATGTAGTGTAGTGTAAATGAGCGTAGCTCGTAGGTAGTGTGGTAGTGTGGCCAAAACGCACAGTGTCTGTCAGCGTAGCATTCTACCAACATGTACAGTCCGAGTTAATCAGTTAATGTTCCGGCAAAAGCGGGGGGTCTGCCAGAGGTTTATATAAGGAGGCGAAGGTAATCATCGGGATGCACCCCAGCTGTGTGCATCGACAAACCAGTCGCTAATTACTGGAATGCAACACAGCTGAGGTGCAGAGCCCACAGGATAGAGAAAGCAGAGGAGAGAAAGGCGGAGAAGAGGCAGCGGCTGCTGAGCGGCCCTGACAATGTTGCTCTTAGTCTGCTGCTCTGCTCTCACTTGCTCTGTATTGTGCTGCATATCCTGCCAATGCCACTTTACATCTAATGCCTATGAAAACAAACATGACTCTGCTCTTTTTAGTTGCTCTTAATGCTCAGCAGCAGTCCCCTCCACCAACACATGATTACACAATAGGCATTATATTGTCATTAAGTACCCTGTTCCTATCAGTTGGAGTTATTGAGCATATTCATTTTCAGTTGTTTCAGTAGAAGGACCTGTTTCATGCACATCCATGTGCCGTACTGATTACAGTATTACACATTTTGTAGGCCTTTATATTTTGCCAGTCTAAAGTAGCTTTTTCCTGAGAGAGTACCACAGGAAGAGATATGTTTTATATTTCCTGTAGCAGCCCCACCAGCATGTTTGGAATCAGTGTAATACAAGCAGCAGCTAAGTGAGCAAATAAAATATCATCTACAATATCTAAAGCCTTACAAACAGAAAATCCAATTAAAAATCCATATTATGGTAGCTGTATTGTAGTTCTAGGCTAAAGGGTGATCTCTGGAAAAAGCAGCCACAGCAGTACATAATGATGTCCAGATCTTAGAGCAAAATGTATTTAACTACTTAATAATTTTTACTCTAGTTCCAGCGTGTTGTACTTAAGTTAACATATTTGATGTAATGTAAAAGTGAAGTGCCTAGAAAAACCACCCTGGAAGTTTTGAGGTGTATGAAATGTACTTGCCTGAATAATCTTTTGGAGTGTGAACACTCACCTGTTTTTCTCACTGAGGCGTGAAATTTGCTGAGTCTGCAGGAGAATATGTTTCTCCAGCTGGTTAGTGAAGAGCGAGTACTCAAGCAGCTGGATCTCAAAGTGACTTGTCTGGTTTAACACCTACAGATAAATAAAACAGAAGAATAACTCTATTCTGCACAGGCAGAAGGATGGATCACAAGGCTCATAATGCTCATTTTTTGATCTTACTGTGAAAACTTGAGCAGGAACTGTCTCATATGCACCTGTGACATGTTTTGAAGTTATAGTTAAAACAAAAATGTGAACAAAGCAGCTCACATATTTGTACAGGTTGTGGCTTCATAGGGACTTTGATAACAGAAAAAGAAAGCACGAGGACCAAAACAAGCCCAATCTGTAATAACAGCTCTGTGGCATGATTGAAGACACATCTGTATTGTGCTACTGAGCTTTGTTTTAATTGGCTTGTTGTCAGACGCCAAGCTCAACTCATTGTGTCAATCAGAGCCTGTAGAACCAAATACCAACAGTTTTAAAGCTATTGCCACCACTTTTGGGCACGGCTTCTCAGTGGGATAGATCTGACTTGTATTTCATTAGCGATTTGCCAAGTCTTTCACAAATGAAATCATTTGTTTTTGCATGGTGGTGACCCCTGTAGTTGTTCATTTGGATTGGCTGCAATCAAGTTATCCCAGGTTCACCCAAATCCTTACTGTTGGGCTCACCTGGGTTTCCACGTCTGTCAGTTTGCGAGTCTGCTCCACTGATTGGTTTAGAAGATTGGTTCTCATCTCAAGCATGGCAGCTGTCTGGGTGTCCACTACTGTTCTCTTCATTTCCTCCATCCCAGAGTGCACATTCTCCTGGATGAAATTCTCCAGCTGTAAAGAAAAACAAGCAAGACACCGAGAATGTTATCCACAATGTCACACTGTGGTAATCATATTTTTGGAGGTAAGTCTCTGTATGTCTGTTGACTTCTCGATGCAGTGAGAAAGTATCAACCTTAGTGATCTATCTTTGTCACCTCTATCTTCTCAGGTACTGAGACAAAGTCATGAAATTCAGTGTCCTCAGGGCAATGCCAATGTGTCGCTACTCATCTATCTATCTATCTGCAGGTCTACCTCAGCCAAATA